GGAAGGCCAAAACCCAGAAGATATAGGAACATATGGGGGATCCTGTTATTTGTCTGTATTTACTTGTGTTTCCCAGGGCCTCTTCATGTTGCTCGGGAAGAAAATGAACGTGCAGCCACCCGTCGCAGAGGGGGCAGGGGGGGCCTCAGTAGCCACTCAGAAACTGCGGCCACCAGCAGATAGTAGAAGGAGGAGGGAGGAGGAGGGAGGAGGAGGGAGGAGGAGGTGGAGGGAGGGCGAGAGGGTGAGGAGGGAGGAGGAGGGGGAGGAGGAGGAGGAGGAGGAGGAGGAGGAGGAGGAGGAGGAGGAGGAGGGAGGAGGAAGTAGAGGAGGCGGAGGGAGGAAGGAGGGAGGCAGGAGGAGAAGGCGGGGGAGCAGGGAGAGGGGAGGAGAGGAGGAGGGGGACGGGAGGAGGAGGGAGGGCAAGAAGGGAGGTGGAGGAGCCGGAGGAGGGAGAGTGGAGGTAGGGGAGGCCGCCCCCTCTCTCCCTCCACTCCCCTTCGGCGGCCTGTCGCGCCGCCAACCTCCTGCCCAGGCCACGAGTGGACAGCAGGACTGCGCCGGGGACCTGTGCGTCCACGCGGCGAGCAAGCTTGGCATCCTTGGCGCGCCTCGTTGACCCGCGGGCCCCTGCAGGACTTCGCACTGACAGACCGCAGAAATCGCGTCCGCACGCACACACACGCACCTATCTAAACACACACGCGCACGCGCACGCGCACGCCCCCCCACACACACACACACATTCACACACACATGCAAACGCACACACACACACACACCTACACGCAAACACACGCACACACATGCACACATGCACGCACTCATACGCAGGTACACTTATACAGACACGCCCACACACACACACACACACTCGCACACGCACACGAAAGCACGCGCACACACACACGAACACACACACAAACATGTTTGGAAGCATGCGGACGCTGTCTCAGGCCGTTCCCCACGCACACTTGGCTTGTCAGCGACGACGTTGGGCACGAAGCGTGGAGAAGCGACGACTCGGGCGACATACGCACATTTCCCTCCAACGCACCGGTGCGTTGAGGTCGGCGGTTCGCAAAGCATGAGAGCGGGATAGGTTTAGCATCAAGTCGTTCCTGCTTTGGTAACGCGGCGACACATGCCACCCCTCCACACCCACCTACACATAAACACGCACACGCAAATACACCATCTTGAGTCGGCGATCATGCGCGCTGCAACGCGGTGGTCAAGTTGGGCAGGCAAGCGGTCAGTTTAAACAAACACACGCGCACACGCACACAGGCAAACACGCATACGTGTATAGAGTATGAAATCATAAAGACAAAAACAGCGATTACGACAGATAGAGGGACAAACAAACCGAGGGAGAGACAGAGAGAGAGAGTGAGGGATGAGAGGGGAGCTGAACGAAGGAGATGGAGGATGGACGAGGAGAGGAAGGATAAGGGGGCACGGGCACTGAGAGAAAATCGAAGGTAGCAATGGGATGAAGAGAGAGAAACGAGGAGGGGGAGGAGGAGGAGGAATAGGTGCAGAAGGAGGAGGAGCAGGAGCAGGAAAAGGGAGTGAGGAGGGAGGAGGGAGGGTGGAGGAGAAAGAAACCGGAGATAGGAGGGAGTACGGCGGATGAGGAGGAGGAGGAGGAGAGGGAGGATGAGCACCATGTGGAGCAGAACGGAAATGCAGGATGGATGATGGGGGGATTGTTGTACAGGAGAAGATGAGGGGAGTCAGACACGAAAACTTATTGACGGGGTGGTTGGAAGTATATACAAAGATGGATTATGACAGCACGGATCGGAGTTAGAGTCGAAGGATTGCAAGCGAGGGGGCGGAAGGGGGCAAATCTATTGAATAAGGGCGGTGCACGGAGGGACGAGCGAGTGGGCAGGAGTGTCGAGAGCAACAGATGATGCAGGAGAGCGGGTTTTTTGCAGTGGAGGAAGGGGAGGCGGGTTTTTTGCAGTGGAGGAAGGGGAGAATGGTGCATAATGCAAATGAGCGGGGATGGTGACGGAGGATCAGGAGCGGGAGGTGGATACGGATGAGTAGGGGGAGGGGCAGCAGGTGGGAGTTTGGGAGAGAGAGAGAGAGAGAGAGAGAGAGAGAGAGGGGAAGGTGCAGGAGGAGGCGCAGGGATGAGAAGGAACAGGAGTTCGAGGAGGGAGCTGGATGAAGCCGGTAATGACGAGGGTAACACAGACAGAAAGAGTGAGAGAGAGGGAGATGCTGGATGGTGAGGATGAGGGGGTTGAGGAGGTAGGAGGACGAGGATGGTGAGCATCAGCCGAGGATCATACACAGGTGGGGAGAGAAGATGTGACATGAGCCGCGGGAGGAGTATCAGGATCAGGAGGAGGAGGTGGACGCGGACGAAGGAGGAAGAGTATGGAGGAGCAGCGGGATGCGCAGGTCAAAGAGCAGGAGGAGCGATAGGAGGACGCGGCGGAAAGTGCATGGTGAGGGAGGATCGTTTCGCGCGTGCCCGCTCAAGGAAAGTGTGCCCTCATCTGGGATCCTCGTTGTCTCAAGGGGTCCCTCTTTCCTTCGTAAAAATGAAGGGCGCGTAGACTTCCGCGCAGAGAACCAATGAACGAATAAGGTTCGGGGGCCCTAGAATTGTATACCGAATGACCGAATGTTGACTTCTTGTTTGCCTGATCGAGCACGGCGCGCCCTTCGCGCAGGTTTCTCGTGCACGTCTCGGGCCCCGCGCTTGTTTTGCAGAAAGAATGTTGGCTTGTTGGCTTTCTGCGCGCCCGCTCGAGGATGACGCGCCCTGCGAACCGAATAGCTGAGGATGTCTCAAACGAAACGCTTGTTTTGCAGTGCTTGAAAAGCCTGGGCGACACAGGGAGTGGGAGTGCGGTCGGACCGTTTTTTCGAGGGATCGTGCGTGGCCCTGGGAGCATGACAACACGTGGGTTCTTAACGCTCCCAAAGCAGGACAAGCATGTGAACGCGTGGGTCTTTAACGCCCCCGATCGGGACATGAGATGAAAACACGTTGGTTGAAAAAGACGTGGGCTCCAAACGCGCCAGGGCTGGACGAACGTACAAATACGTCGGTTCCTAACGCCCCAGAGCGGGACCAGCGTGAAAACATTTGAGCTCCTAACGCCCCAGAGCGGGACAAGCTTGAGAACACGTGGGTTCCGAACCCCCAGAACAGGACCACCGTGAAAACACGTTGGTTCCTAACGCCCCAAAGCAGAGCAGGTGAGCACGTGTGGGTAATCTGCCCTGGGCCCCGTTGGCGGCGTCTCCAGCGCCGCCGCTGGCGCGCTCCGCGCGTTGGCAAGGGGTCTCAGCGCCGATCCACGAATTCCACGAGACCTCCGAAAGTTGATGGCATTGCCATCTGTTGTTCTTCGAGAGGGTGAAGGGCTCTGGGTCGCCGCTGCAGTAGCCGTTTCCTGACAGCTCGATGATATTGGGCAGTACCTTGGGCGCGGAGGCGGCCAGGGACCAGGAGCAGGAATTGAAAGAGCAGGTAGCAGCGATAATTCGAAAGAGGCCCTTATGCGCGCCCTTCTCATCGGACCCGCGACGTGGAGTTCTTTCCAAGACGTGGGCCCTAAAGCTACGGAGTGCTTCCTCACGGATCACACCCGTCCAAGGCGAAAAGTGTGCAAACCGGAGCTCTCACACGTCAGGTTCTCGACATGCGGACGCGTACTCCTTGGCGGCTCTTGCTAGCTGGAATAAAGACGGCGTTTATCTTTCCTATCGGGTCGCCTCACACATTGAAAGTAGATCGCGAGCAGTGAGGTACGAGGGGGCACGGCACGCGGGGTGCTGCGGCACCTTTGACGCATCCTGGTTTGACTCTGGTCTCAGGATCCCCTCAGGATTCCCCGAGGATTCCCTCCACAATCCCTCAGGAACCCTTTTTTAGAAATCCTTCAGGAATCCTGCAGGAATCCCTGAGGGATCTTTTGGAAACCTTTCGGACACCTTCAGGACAACCCCCTAGGAATCCGTAGGAATCCTTGGGGAATCCGTAGATCCAGTGGGCATCCTCAGGAAACCTGTCGGAACCCGTAGGAATTTCGACAGGATGCCCGCAGGAATTTTTCAGTTATCACTCATGAGTCCTGGTGAGTCCTCTCGCTATCCTCAGGGATGTTGGAGAATCCTTGAGGAACCTGCCAGAAATTCATGATGAATCCCTTACGCAATCATCAGGAATCATTCGGGAATCTTTCCAGAATCCTTCAGGACGACCCAGGAATCAATCAGGAATCTTCCGGAATCCTGCTGGAGTCCTTCAAGATCTGTTTTGGATTCTCAGGAATCCTTCGGGAATCCTTCAGGGTGCCACCGTCAGACATCCTTCACGGATACGGCAGGAATTAGTTCAGGAATGCGTCAGGGAGTTTTCAGGAATCCTTGAGGGTTCTCTCAGGAATCCATCAGGGATCCTTCAGAAATCCGTCAGGCATCCATCTGGCAATCCCTTAGGAATCATCGGGAATCTTGTGAGAGTCCGTGGGAATCCCTTAGGATTCCGAAGGCATCGTTCATGAATTTTCAGGAGCTTTTCAGGACCCCCCCAGAATTGTTTCGGAACCCTTCCGGAATCGCTTGGGATCCTTAGGAAACCCTGTCGGAATCGTCCGGGGTCCTTTCGGAAGCTTGGAGCAATCCGCAGGAATCCTTGAGGAATCTTTGGGACATGATTCCTGATTCTATCCGGAATCCTTCAGGAATGCTTTAAGAATCCTCCAGAAATCTTTCCGTAAACTTCGCGATGCTTTCATGAGACCCCAGGCATCCTTCAGGATTCCTTCATAATCTTTTCGGAACCCTCAGGAATCTTTCAAGCACATGAAGCTGAAGTCAGCCCCCTTGGTTAGATTCCAGCCTTTGTCTTGTATGATCGCTGAAGGAATCAGCGTCGGGAGCAGTCCCGCAACAATGGTTGCAAACAGTCCCAAGTGGACACTGACTGGCCCGATGTCGTTGGAATGGGCTTTGATTTCGAGGAGGCGGAGGTGTCTGGGGAGGGGAGGCTGCAACGGGAGCAAGTGAATCGGTGACCCCGTGATCAGATCCTAACGACAACCCGCAGCAGTTTTGGACCAGAGCTCCAGCCCCGCTGCGCCAACGGCAGGGGCAGGCGCGCTTCCGCGCTCGTGGGCGCCTAAGCCGAGCTGGGCGCGTGCATGTGCTTCTCCTCGTACTGCTTCCAGGTTCCGTGCGTGCCTGGCTGGCGGGCAGGCTCGGTTGCTCCTCGAATTCCCGGAGGACATGGCAGCGACACCACCACCACCAGGGGCACCACCTCCCACAAGGAGTTCCATGATGCCTCCCAGTGCTGGAGGTAGGGGGTGTATCGAGCGGAGAGGGGAGGCCACACCACCAAGAGGACCCCCCCCGGCTTCTCGCGCTGGTGTTGGTGGTGTCGTTGTTGTCTGTGCCTGCATTCCGTCCTCTTATCCATCAAAGCATGAATAACTGAAAGACCTTAGAGCCGCTGGGGGGCCATCTACAGCCCAATGGGCCAGGCAAACCAGCGTAACACCGTTCCCCTGCTGCGGATTCTCCTGCTGCGCCTCATCCTGTTGCTGTTGCTGTTGCTGCTGCTCCTCCTCCCCCGACATCCCCCCCAGAGCCCCCCGTCGGGTCAGGAGAGGCCTTGACGTCCCAAGCCCAGAAAGCACATCCCCTCACCATTGCCTTGGCATCGCTCGGACGTGTGTATTGTTTTCCTCTGGCGGGGACCATCGAGGAGCACCCTTGATGATTTGGTAACAAAAAAACACGCATGAGACCGAAAAAGAACACAGGGAATGGACGTCCGAGCGATGGCCAGTTGCTGCTGATCCTCCTCCTGCTTCCATTCCTCCTCGTGATCCTCCCGTTGCTCCTGCTCTACAGTCGGGGCGTCGACCTAAGGAACCCTAAATAAGGAACGAGGCCCCTGTTTTCCATAAGTTAAACTTCGATTTCCCATCGAAAACAAAAGGGAAGGCTGAGGCAAGCTGTGAAACACTTAAGGAGCGCGGAGCCCCTCCCCAACCAAAAGGGTTCCTTCTTCGGGGCCCCGACTGTACCCACCCACCCTTCTGTGCGCAGGGACGGTGGCTGCCGCGGACGGATCCTACCACAGCCTCGACTCGGACGGCGATGCACGAAGCTTGCCTTAAGCCTGGCCTGTCCTTCTACAGGGGGGATATTCAAAAATAATCTGGGTTTTTTGTTTGCCATTTTGGAGGATTTGTTGGGTCTGTTTTTTATTTTTATTTTTTTGTAGAAAATCCCCCTGTAAGGGGGACACGCCTGACCTAATGCTACCCCCTTTCACCTTTGCCTCCCTCCCCCGCCCCCACCCCCCCGCCCCGCCCTTCCCTTCCACCACCCCACTTTTTGTTTGCTTGCTTCCTCTGCATGCGTCTGGTCATCCTTCCTCCTTCCTCCTGCTCCTCTCCCTACCTCTTCCCACTCCCCATCCTTCTCCCGCTTGCGTCTACCCCTTCCTGCTTCTCTTCCTCCAGGAGAGCGCCCGCGTCATAGCGATCAAAGACCTCCCCGGGCTGCAGGCCCGTGGGCAAGATTACTACTCTCAGCCATTCTGCGGTATTTGTGTCGTCGGGGTCTTGATCGCGCTGTTCGTGTCTTGCACCCGTAGCGCCGTCGCCGACAGTGCCGGTGGCTACGACTGGACCCTTCCCAACGCCTGCGTGGTAGCAGTTTTTGCCGAGGCCGGCATCGCGGTTTTCATGGTGCTTTACATTCTGTTCGCGGGTGCTGGGGAAATCAGGCGTTCGCCAGGCACTTGCTATCCCATACCTCCTGAGGTTGACCAGCGGCTGCGTAGAGGAGAGAGTCTCCAGGACATGGAAAACGTCCAGGCGAACACAGAACGTGCAGACCACGCAGGCATGCCAGACGGGACGTATTGCGTGCGCTGTTTGGTCTGGAGACCAAATGTAGGTAGGAAGGCCCACCATTGCCGCACATGCGGACGGTGCGTCGTGGGCTTCGACCACCACTGCGACGTTTTCGGACGCTGCATCGTGCAGGGAAATATGCTGTGCTTCAACGGCCTGATCAGCATGATGGTAGCTGGAATCGTCACCACGATGTTGGCGGTGATTGCCAGCGCCCCAGGTGTAGAATGATTGCCCGTCTCAGGGTCTGTGCACGCGCGCCAGTTCCGTCTCAACATCTCGGATGGTGTTGACCCCCACCTCCACATCACGACTTGGACCTTCCATGTGCGGTTGACGGTGCTCCGTGCATTTTCACATTTCACAGCAGAATCGATGAGCCTGTCACCGCGACCACACAGATTCGGGTCGCAGGCATTCGCAAGTTTCTGAACGCATTGCTAGATACCTGGAGCGTTCCACAGGAGCGGACAGCGTCAGTGTCACTACATTCAAAAGCGGGGCGCAGTCTCTTTGCGATAAGAAGCCAAGGCTAAGCGGATTGAGTTATCGAATGCGCTTCTTGCGAGTCACCGCCGCCCCTGCCTTTTTTCGGGCGTTGCCCGAATTGGCTATTCGCTATCTCAAATGACTGGCTGACTGACGGGTCGCGCCCGATAGCATGCCGTATTTAGTTCGTTTGCTCATTTTGCAATTCGCGGTGAAACCAATAGCAGGTTTTTTTCATGCACGGACGCTGAATACGCAATCGATGATGCAGTTGAAAGCAGGCCGTTGTATTTTCTGCCAAGGAGTGTGCAACCGACGGCGCAACCCATAGCAGGCCGATGTATGCCAAGCTGCCAGAACGAATGGCGCAATACATGGCTGCCTGCTCATTTTCAATTGATGGGTGCGTAATCAATGGCGTAGCCAATCGCAGGGCGTGGGAATTTCGGCCGCCGAGTGTGCAATCGATGGGGCAACCACTAGCAGGGCGCTTTGTTTCACATTCTATGGCTCAACCCATGGGTCGCGCAACCCATTCCCCAACCTACGGCGCAGTCCATGGATGACGCAACCCATAGCGCAGCGCAACCAGTGCCGCATAGCGCAACCGAATACGCACCCCGTGGCTGGTGCAACCGCTTCCGCAACCCATGGCGCCTACGCACGGTGCAATCTACTCGTGCACGGCGCAGCCCGTTGCGGAACCGCAGCTTTTGCTGCGGTCCCTCGCAGCTTTTGCTGCGAGGCTGCGCCCGATGTGTGCTCGTGGCCCGTGCCGCGGATTGCCGAGCCAACGGCTGGCAGGTATCGATTTGCTGGTGTGCCCCCCCAGCTGTTCCTTCCGCTTCCGTTCCTCCGTTCGTTCCCGGCGTGTCCCGCCCGCAGCCCGACCGGCGCCCGCCCCCAGCTTCGCTTCGCTTGCGCCCGCGGACTGAAAACATGTCCCCCCAGCTGTTGCGGCAACAGCTCGGGGAACGATGGTGGCGGGTTCTGTCATTCTGTCCAGGTGGTGGCCCCAGGAGGGAGCAGTGGCCACTTATGAAGCCACACGACAGATCACGTCCTTGCTTGCATTGGTGGCGCAGCATGTGTATACGTAGTAGTAGAGGAACGAAGTGGGGCATATACGTAGCCCGCGGTGCAAGCCTAGGTATCTTGACGTAAACGTCGTATCAGTCAGTGCACGTGCGATGTGACTTGGTAGGCTGCCCGGGGCCGCGCCAGACGATGGTATGCTATGCCAGGTTCGCGGTCGGAGGTGCAGTGCCTCCGCTGCTGCAGGCGTAGGTGCCCCCTGCCACGGCGGGCACATCGGACCATCACAAAACTACAGCGGGCCAATTGGCGCCCCAGGCCACCCCCCGAACACCCAACGGACCCGCGCAAGTCCTGTGTCACCTTAAACTTGGTACAGATGTGCGACGAGTGTGCACCTGTATTTCTCGTAGCACTGTGTTTGACCGTGTGCACCAATCATATGGTATCATGCATCGGCTCTTGTTGCGGATACCGATGACGCTCCGCGCCAACGCCCTGTTGCGCGCCGCTTGTCTTTGAACGCAGGCGGCGAGTCATGCGAATCCCACCGTGCGGCAGCAGCGCCGATGGCGCCGATGGGCGTGGAGGAACGAGGAGGAGGTGGAGCACGGAAGATGAGTCGTGGCAGAGGTGGTAGAGACAGCGGCGATGCCGCAGGGAGGCGGGGGGGTGCAAAAAGGAGGCAGGGAGGGAGAGGGACTGTTTTTTTTTGGGGGGGGGGCCACAGCAATCCTCGTGGCCATGCTTGGTGAATCCATCCCCTGGCGTGATGTGGTCCCGAGAGGGCCTCGAGACCTCCAGGCACCTCGATCTTCGGCCCTCGACCCGGGCCGCCCCCCCCCCTCCCTTCGGAAAGCGGACCTGGGCCTCGCCACAGGTTTGAGCCTCGGCCATCGCTCCTCTGCAGGGAACCCAGCAGCGGCGACGAGAATCAAGAGGGGCAAAAGCACACAGACACAATCCATCGTCGATCCCCAGGGAAAGATGGGAAAATATGGGAAGCGGGGGGGGGAGACAATATGGGCCTCCCCCCCTCCCCTTCAGGAATCGGGCCTGGGCCTCTCCACAGCTGAGCCTCGACCATCGCTCCTCTGCAGGGGAGCCAGCAGCGGCGACGAGAGGCCCCCCTGCTGGGCGCCCCGAGGAGGGCGGAGCGCATTCCCGGGCGCCGGCCCTCCGTCCTCAGGCTTCGTGGCGACTGAGATACACACAGGAGGGGAAACACACACAGACACAAGGAATCGTCGACTCCCTAGGGAAATATGGGAAAATATGGGAAGTGGGGGGGAAGACAAAAACCTAGAACATATATGAAAAAATGGGGAATCTTTTTATTTGTGTGTTTTTTTGTGTGTTTGTGGGCCCCTTCAGAGAAGCCCCCCTGGGTGCCCCGAGGAGGGCGAAGCGCATTCCCGGGCGTCGGCCCTCCGTCCTTAGGCTTCGTGGCGACTGAGATACACACTTGAGACGGGCACGTCTGCAACATCGTGCGGCGAGGGATTGCGAATGCACCGTTGCAGGAATTGTGTTCAGGCGTGCATGCGAGAACGCAGCCGATGCCCGGACCTAGAGAACCTCCGACCGGTTTCGGGGATACATGCGGATTAAGCAAGGTATCCTTTGCCAGGGACCCAAGCCTGTACAGGAGGACGAGGGGGAGGATGTCAGTCAAGACTGGCGCCCAAACGCCGCATCGGCAAATAAACAGTTGCTTGCTGAAGTTGTGTGGAAGGGGGGGGGGGAGGAGGAAGAAGAAGAGAAGGGGAGAGGAGGGACGACACCAAGAACAGTTTACACTGGTGCTCCTCTGTCAATTAGAGCCGGTGTTCCCCGAGATCCGACGTCGTGTTGTTTTCAATACGCGGTCCCTGGAAGTCTTGACCCATTCCCCAGGACTGTTTTTTCATCCTGAGTAGTTTGTTTGACGGTCCCGAGGCCCGGCGAAAGCCCCTAGGGGCCGAAATTTGTGAAAAACCTCCATCGTGATTTTTTCGTTGCGCTGGATCTCTGGATTTTGGGTGTTGGATGGGGAAAGTGCCAGGATGGAGACCTGGGGCAGCCCGGAGTGCGACGCCCCGGAGCTCCGAGGGGACCCCTGCACTGGGAGAGTGTTTGGAGACGGCGCCCGCCGCCCGCCGCGCCCGCTTCCCACGGAGACCGCAGGCGGAGCCCCCCATGGGGCCACGAAGCGAGATCGCCAGGACATGTCAGCCACGCGCAGAGGGGGCGGAGGGGGAGGAGGGAGGATCAAGCAGTGGCGAAGCGTCCTGGTTCGCCTATAGCCCCACCAAAGAAAGTTCTAAGAACCTCTTGTGGCTTCCACGGAAGGTTCTCAGAACATTTCTGGCGGAGTCTGTCTTGCTTGCACACATCGGGTTTATGTTCTGAGAACATTGTTTTTGTTCTTAGGACATATGTGGGCTCTAAGAACATTTCGTGGTATGACCATAGGAATGCCGGGACGGTCGGTCCCTGCTCAAAGGACATGCGCTGAGCAGGGGGCGGAGGGGGAGGAGGAAGGAGGGGAGGCGGAGCGCAGAGCGCGGCGCTGCGGATTCCAGAGCGGAGGCCCGGCAGCCTAGGAGAGCCGGAGAGAACACCGCGCAGTCACGGCCAGCGCCGCCCCTCCGCAGCAGCGGCGGCCATGGCAGTGCAGCGTGAGCGGCGGCGGGTCGCTCGCGCCTTCGTGCTCGGCGACCGCTGCCCGAGCGGGACAGGAACAATAAACGGTGCTGTCACTACGACCCGCTTCGACGCAGAGGTTCGCGGGCTGCGCCCGTGAGGCCAGTCCGCGTCGAGTTGGCTCGCTTCACCGGCATCGGCCGGTTGCGAGCAGGCGTCGGGCGCGGCGCTCCGAGCTCGGTGCGAGCCAAGGAGATCCGCTGGCCATTCGATCCGTTTTCGGTGTGGCCCGAGTTCGCGATTCAATCCGGCTGGGCCTGACAGCTTGAGACAGCCAGCAGCCAGTGGGCTTTGAACATTCGTGCAGTCACAGCTCGAGAAGTCTCCTTGTGCCTGTCTGTCCAACGTTCGTCCCTTCAGCTTTATTCCTTCTTCTCTCATAACCGCGCTGGGAACAAACATGCCTGGCGAAGGACCGACGCTGGAGCAACTGCGGATAGCGCAGGATATGGCCCTTAGGCCACGCGCCGCGACACTGGATAAGCTCCCAGCTGAGGACTGAGGCCTCCGGAGCTTCCTGCCGGGCCACAAAGCGCGCGACGGGTGCCGAAATGGGCGCGTGACCTACCCTTTCGTTCCCCCCGAGTCGTGGCTATCGGACATCGGTGGTAGAGAATTGGATTTGAGTTGAGGAGAAGGAGGAGGAGGAGGAGGAGGAGGAGGAGGAGGAGGAGGCGGAGATAAGGAGGAGGAGGAGGAGGAAGAGAAGGAGGAGGAGGAGGAGGACGAGGAGGAGGAGTTGGGTCGTCGTCGTCGTCGATTTGAGTTGAGCTGGGTCGTCGTCGTCGACGTCGTCGCCTTGCCGGCAGCAGGTCGGCAGCGGCATCGTCGGGCTCACCGCGGCGGGCTTCGTGGGCGGCAGCGGCCTGCGGCGCCGCTTCGGCGGCGCGCTGCGGCGGGCGCGGGCCGCGGCGGAGGCTGACGGGGGGTCACCTCTTCCTCCTCCTCCTCCTCCTCCTCCTCCTCGTCCTCCTCCTCCTCCTCCTCCTCTTCCTCTTCCTCCTCCTCCTCTTCCTCCTCCGGGTGGGGTCGGAGGATCGCGCCGCATCGCCGATGCGTCGCCGATGCGCCCGACGTGCAGTCCGACCTGTTTCACGCCGACGTAGCCGACACATCGCCGACGTCGACGATGCATGCCCAGCTCATCGCCGATGTCTCGCCGATATACCGTCGGGGCCCTGAGGAAGGAACCCTTTTCGTTGGGGAGGGGCTCCGCGTTCCTTAAGTGTTTCACAGCTTGCCTCAGGCTTTCCTTATGTTTCCGACAGGAAATCGAAGGTTAACTTATGGAAAAACGGGGCCTCGTTCCTTATTTAGGGTTCCTTAGGTCAACGCCTCGACTGTATTGGCGATGCGGCGCGGTCCTCCGACCCCGTCTACTCCGACCCCGCCCGGGAGGCCTCTGCTGGTGCTGGTGGCGTCGGGGCTCTCACGCGACGGGGGTCGGCCGATCCCCTCTGGCTGACACGCTCAGGGGCCACGTGGGGTCGATTCTCCCTTCCTGCCCTCCTCCGCCTCCTCCTCCTCCTCCTCCTCCTCCTCCTCCCCCTCCTCCTCCTCCTCCTCCTTCCTCCTCCTCGTCCTCGTCCTCGTCCTCGTCCTCCTTCTTCTCCTCCTCCTCCTCCTCCTCCTCCTCTTCCTCCTCCTCCTCCTCCTCCTCCTCCTCCTCCTCCTCCTCCTCCTCCCCATTCCCCCTTCCCGCCCTCCGCGGGCCCGGGTGCGGGAGCTGCTGAGCGGCCAGCCGGGCTTCGCGACAGTCGGGGGCGGCAAAGAGGGGGGTGGTGACTAGGGGGGGTGGATCGCATGGCGGGGGCCATGTCATTTCCCCAGATCTCATGGCGCCTCTTCTTATCTCATTACGTCCCTGGCCCCCCCGCTGGGCCGCGCACATGCCGCCGGTCATGATTTGCACCCCCCCTCTTGGACACCCCCCTCTTGGCCGCTCCCGAGACAGGGTCGTGGCCCACACATGTAGTAGTGCTGACCCGGGCTACGTACGGTCAAGAGCGTCGGCAGCGAGTGTCGCTCCGCCAGCTCTGGGCCCCACCACGTTTCGGCGAGGCACGCCGCCACTTGTGGGCCCCCCAGCGTCAACGACTCTCCTCCTCCTCCTCCTCCTCCTCCTCCTCCTCCTCCTCTCCTCCTCCTCCTCCTCCTCCTCCTCCTCCTCCTCCTCCTCCTCCTCCCCCTCCTTCTCCCACCCTCCTGCCCCACGGAAAGGAGCGACACGCCATCCGCTCGCACGGCACAGCGCGTCGCCGGGCCGCCGCCGCGACACACTGAGCAAGATCTCTCGGTCGTAGTGCGTGCCCGATGCTGGGAGCAGGGAGCGCGCCGCCACCACGACCACCAACTGGGGGGGGGATTCAGGAGGAGCCGGTGTGCGGGATGCGGACGTGCACGACGTCCCGCAAGAGCGCCCTGAACGATGTACACCACCACCATCCCTGACCACCTTAAGCCTCCACC